GAAATGCACTCGAGTTTAAGGAATCGTATCCAGACGCCGTGAGCGCCATAATAAAGAACCATTATGTTGACGATCTGGTGCATTGTTTTTCGTCCGAAAAAACGGCCGTGAGGGTTGCGAAGGAGATTGTTGACATTCACAAGAGAGGAGGATTCGAATTAAAAAAGTTTGTATCTAATTCCAGTTTCTTCAACGGGATTTTTGGTAATGAGCAGGCAACCGAACTTGTAAGTCTTGATAGGGACGAATCTTCCCATTACCAAAAGGTTCTGGGAATGTACTGGTGTACACATAGCGACGAATTTGGGTTCTTGCTCTCGTTTAATAAAATTGACGCAACAATATTTTCAGAATCAAGAATACCGTCGAAACGAGAAGTATTGCGAGTCGTCATGTCTGTGTTTGACCCATTTGGAATTCTTGCTGAATATTCCCTGATCGCTAAGCTTCTCCTTCAGTCAATATGGCAAAAACGAACAGAGTGGGACCAGCCCATTGAGGATGATGACCTGAAGCAATGGAATTGTTGGTTGCGAAGTCTTGGTCAAATAAGCAAGATAAGAATACCCCGATGTTACGCCGAGGAGTTCTTTGACAAGCCAATCGAACTGCACATATTTTGCGACGCGAGTGAGTCGGCATACGCAGCAGTTGGCTACTGGCGTATACGTAAACAACTGGGATGGAAGACTACATTTATAATGGGGAAGACCAAGTGTGCCCCAATGAAATTATCAACGGTACCCAGACTCGAGCTGCAAGCGGCCGTACTAGGAACTCGTCTGAGGAAATGTATTCTTGAAGGCCATGACGTCAGCCCAAAATGTATCCATATGTGGTCAGATTCGAAGACTGTCTTAGCGTGGATCAAGTCAGATCATAGAAAATACAAACCATACGTAGGACACCGAGTCGATGAGATACTTGAAGCTACAAAGTTGGAGGATTGGCATTGGGTGCCCACCAAGGATAATCCTGCAGATTTTGGCACCAAACTCAGAACTGGTACACGAGAATCCTCCTGGCTGCAAGGCCCACGCTTCCTTCAAGAGGACGGAAACCTATGGGATGTAGGAGCTGCAGATATAGGTGAGACGGAGCTGGAGATGCGCAGCAAGTTCGTACTATCAGTTAATGAGGTGCTCTGTGATGGAACTGTCAACGTAGAGTTCAAGGAGCTTCTGGAGAAGTACTCGTCATTCACGAAACTGGTGCGAGTTGTTGCTTGGGTTAACAGGATGTGCAACCGCAAGATTAAACGGAAGAGCTATTTAGATGTAGCTGAAATTGAGGAAGCCGAGCTCATAGTGATCCGCAACGTACAGGATGTTGCATTTCATGATGAGCGGATGACACTATTGTCTGGAAAGACCGTCGAGAACGATAGCAAGCTGTGGAAATTGTCCCCGGCTATAGACGAACGGGGAGTAATTCGCATGAATGGGCGTATAAATAACGCATATGCTGTTGGAGAAGAAACAAGGCGTCCAGTATTAATGCCCCAAGGGAATTACGTCACAGCATTGGTCGTGCAACACTACCACGAGACATGGAAGCATCAAAATGAGAATACTATAGTAGCAGAAATACGCCGAAAGTATTACATACCGCACTGCCGACAGGAGGTTCGCCGCGTATCTAGGAACTGTCGGACTTGCAAAATCCTAAGAGCAACTCCAAAACCGCCACTAATAGGACAGCTCCCTAAAGACAGACTTTCTCCGTACGTACGCCCATTCTCGTATGTGGGAGTCGATTACATGGGACCGTTTTTAGTCGTAAGAGGAAGAAGCACAGAGAAACGCTGGATATGCATATTCACATGCCTTACAATAAGAGCGATTCATTTGGAGATCGCCAGAGACCTGACGACAGATACGTGCCTTCGAGTGTTGCATAACTTCATGGCACGAGTGTGGTGACCTGTACGGATCCGATCGGATAACGGGACAAACCTGGTGGGAGCTGAGCGTGAATTAAAAGAAACATTGCAGGTTCTGGACCTTGTGAATTACCCTTTTGGTTTGTCACCACAAAAAACCTACCCCTTTTTTTTTTTTTTTTTTTCCCCCCCCCCGGGGGGTTTTTGGGGGTTTTTTTGGGGGGGGGGGGGGGGGCCCCCCCCCTCTTTTTTTTTTTTTAATTTTTTTTTTTTATTTTTTCCTCTTTCCTTTTTTTTTTTTTTTTTTTCTTTTTCCCCCCCCCCCTCTCCTTTTTTTTTTTTATCCCGATGATGACCCGATAACCCCTAATCACTTTCTCCTAGGTTCTGCCAATTCTAGCCAAACACCACATCCACAAGAAGAGAAGTACCAGCCAACACGAAAGGACTGGCGTATTGCTCAGCAGATCTCACACTCATTTTGAAGCAAGTGGCTCAATGAGTACCTACCGGACTTATGCAGACGGACGAAGTGGTATCAACTGGTGCCACCACTGGCTGAGGACGATATCTGCGATAAGAATCTCCATCGCCCAACCAATGGAAAAGGGGAATGATCCTTGCAGTTACAGCTGGACGCGACGGACAGGTTCGCTCAGCAACTGTGAAGACGACCAGGCTTGGCCCAACTTGTATGCTGGCAAAGCTGATGTATTGTGAATCACAAGCGGGTTTGGTTCACGGTGGTGGGGATGTTGTGAAGAATCTCATTATTATTATTATTTGTATTTTTAATATTTACTAATTAGTCAAAATCCTGAATACCATTATTGTTAACATAATTAATGTAAGAGAAAAATGGTCACACTGCCAATAAGAGAAAAATGGCCACACTAAGTATGATCGATAGTCAGTCGAGAGCGTAAAAGAAAACGAAGCGTATGTAACCAGAGTAGTGGACATTTTTTGGTATTAACATTGAATATATTCCTAGGAAATAAAACACACATATAACCACGGCATTCAAGGTTGTAGTTTTATACGCATAACGCTAAGGAATCAACAAGTGCCTTAGGATTTCTTTCATACATTTTTCAGTTCCTAAATGACATAACTTCTCGTGAACTCTTCTGATTATGTGCGTTTCCATTTCAGCTGGGACATAAAATAATTCGACGTCATTCTCATTTAATCTATACACAATTCCATCACTCAAAGAAAATTTCTTAACAGGTCCATGTTCCAATTGTTCTTTCAATTTCTCTATATAGTTGTCTCTGTTTTGTGTTATCTGAAGCTGAAGACTAATGTCATCAATGTCAATTACGGAAACTATTCGGTCTTTGTTATCACTTTCATGAATTGTAACTACTGGCTCATATTCAAAATCTTGATTAAGCGCTGAAGGATATCTACTAAGCGTGTCAACATGGGCCATATATTTTCTACTGCGATGTTTCAGAGTGTAATTATAATTAGCTAACTCCATGGCCCATCTGGCAATACTTGAATTAAGGCGTCCTATTCCTAAACATAAGACTACTGCGTTTCAATCCGTTATAATTTTGAATGGAATTCCTTCTAAATAGATTCTAAACTTCCTTAATGAATAAATCACCGCTAATGTTTCGAGCTGGAAACTTTCATATCTTGCTTCTAGTTTGGTCACTCTCTGTGAAAAAAATGCCGTTGGGTGAAACTTATCATCATTTTGTTTCTGCAACAAAATTCCACCAAAACCTTCACTACTTGCATCACAATGCAGCTCTGTTTCTCGATTTGGATTATAAAGAGCCAATACTGGGAACGAAATTAGTTTCTCTCGCAGATATTCAAAAATTTGTATGCACTTGTCTTGAAGTTCAAACTTAGCCCCTGGTTTCGTAAGTTCCTGTAATGGTTTTGCTATTTTTGAGTACGGCGGAATAAAACGCCTAAAATAGGAGAATAATCCTAAACACTTTTGCATTTCATGGCGATCCTTTGGCAACGGAAGATTCTTAATTGTTGCTGTGTGCTCGCAGTTTGGGCTTATTCCTTTTCCATTTTGCATAAACAATCATAAAGAAACATCAAACAATTAAAAGTTACCTTGTTTAATGTCAAAATCCGATTGGCTCACCATCCCCTGTAAAAAGTAGATCAAGATTTCCCGAACCACTTGTTTTACAAAATGGGAATAGGGAAATGTTGTAATATAAATAATTATCGACGACTCCAGCTAAGCTGCTAATTTCTCAACATTTTGCATAAACAATCATAAAGAAACATCAAACAATTAAAAGTTACCTTACTAAATGTCAAAAACCGATTGGCTCACCTTCCTTCGTAACAAGTGGCTCACGATTCCCCAAACCAATATTATAACAAAATGGCCGCAGATAAACTACGCAATGCTAGTTGCATGAAAAATTTCCATTTTTTTTAATATTTAATTTAATGTGTTACATATTTAATTTTAAAATAATTAATATTTAAATTGAATATGCTTAAATTAATTTATAAGTTAAATTAGTTAGTTAGTTTTTCCTAAGCGGACAAACGCACACCAAAAACACGTCTGGTCACAACGAAAGAGAACGACCGCCATTCTGAAAAGCTGATAAATGCAGATGTAAATGAAAAAATAGGTGCTTAAATAGTCACTACTTTTTAAATTTAACTGGTCACTTATCTTATTATCATCATTTCCATCCTTCACTAAATCATTGTTATTGCTATCTGATAATCTCAACTCATTGTTTATATTTGTCAATACTATGTTTTCAATTGGGTCGCCGTCAATGTTTACCAATATTTTATTTTCAATTTCACTGTCAATGTTTACTAATACTCTTTTTTCAATTAAGTCACTGTCACTAATTTCTACAGTTCTGTTTTCTATTCAGTCCCTGTCACTGTTCACTAATATTCTCATTCCTATTAAGTCACTGTCACTGTTCACTAATATTCTATTTGCTATTAAGTCACTGTCACTGTTCACTAATATTCTATTTAATATTAAGTCACTGTCACTGTTCACTAATATTCTATTTCCTATTAAGTCACTGTCACTGTTCACTAATAATCTATTTTCCATAATGACTTGCATTACTCGTTTTAAATTTTCAATTCTATTTTCAAAAATCAATTTTATTCCATAATGTTCAAGGAAACTACGCCCCAGAAGGACATTACTAGATACATAATTATTGGGTACAACGTAAAATATGAGTTCTTTCTCTATGTTATGAAAATTTACTTTAACAATTATTTTTCCAAAAGTGCTTATTCTTGAACCATTTACTCCACAATATTCAGTTGGTCTTAGTACATCATCAAAATTTACATAAGGCATCGCCGCACGCTGCATCAAATTAATAGCGCTACCGGTGTCCAACATGGCAGAAAGAAATTTAATATTATACCTGCGTTTTATATCAGTGTAAAAATATACCCCTACCTGATTCATAATAGGAACAAACATATTGTGCTGCTCTCCGTCGTCCATCATCGGCTGGTTGCTGGCTGTATTCACGGATCGTTGAGTTGGCACAGGCTTCTGTTGGCAATCCTTCACCTTGTGCTGCATGGACCCACACTGGAAGCACGATCCCTTCTCCCGCAGAGGTGCGGGACACGATGAAGCGTAATGTCCATGCGCTGAACAATTATAGCAGCGCACCTGGTTCTGGTCAGGTCCTGATGCACTCATCTCAGAGCGCTTGAAATTCGTCTGGGTACTCTTCCTTAAAGCCTCGTATTGACGGGCCAGCTCCTTAAGTTTTCCAATGGTCGTCGCTGAATACAATAAGGCGATACTGGTAGAACGATCGCGAAAACCATCAATGATAAACTGAATCGTTAATTTTTCTTCGATGTCGGCACGCATAGCAATTTCTTCCATCAGAAGAATGTATCCCATTACGAAGTTCTTCCCTGGATTGACAGTGGTTTCCTTCAAGAGCAGTAACACATCAGCAGTTGAATTACTGCGACCAAAAGTTTTCAGGAAGTTTTCTTTAAACTCATCGTAAGTCTTCGATTTGTCGACACGCATGAACAAGTCCGCCTCGGTTCCCGCTTTCATCAACATTCGCACACAGCGAAGTCGAAAATGGTTGCTTTCGTTCACGCCTCTGCACATCCGTTCAAAATCCAAGATCCATTTGGAGCCTTCATCATTTTCACTGGCGGGGGAAAGGGACAACAAGCTGCTTAACCATTCGGATATCGTCCGTCACATTATTATCCATTGTCATTAGAGAAGCTAGTTTCTTCTTCTTCTCAGCCACCCTTATTGCTGCGTCGAGCAAGTCTTCTTCTTCTTTTAAATCGTCCATCTGATCGCTTTCAGACACTTTTCCCTCTATGTTAACGTTATGGTGGTTTTCAATTTCCAATTTCTCCAGACTTTCAGATACCTCCTCCATTCCACCACTTATGGCAAGTTTGCGTAGCTGTCTTAGTGTTGCGCTGGCTGGAAAAATTATCCCATTCTCCAGCAGCCACTCTGTAATTTTTTCTTTGTCCATCATTTCATCAGCCATTTATGAAATGATGAAAAAATTTATTGTCGTGGATGCCACTGATCCTATACTTATGTAGGCTTGTACTTTAAAGTGTCTCGATCCCACTTCTGAAGTTATTGTCGCAGAATATCTACGGATGTTTATTTAATTCTTTGATTTATTCCGCAGGTCAAATGTTAGTACTCTTCTCAATTTCGTTCAGCCGGCAAGTCCCTGTCTCCCTCGCTCCGATCTCTCGTTCCGTGTCAATCGATACTTATACGACCAAGACGATATTTTACGCAAGGTGCAAGAGTCGATATTATGTGGGTTAACAATACTAGTGATATTCCCTCTCTGACCTAATTCTACATAGTTCTAGCACTAACCATACAGAATATAGATGTGCCAGTTCATACAACGAAAGGGGCGCAGCTGAGCTTGCAGCGAACGTTCCCAGATCTTCGGCTTTGGGAATGGCCGCGTTCGGCTCTATGAATGGCCGCGATCGGCTCATGACGGCACACTAGCCGACTGGCAGCAAGCATGCATGTGTTGTGTACGTGTACACTCCAAAATATATGATTGTATGCATAGAATAATTTTTAGCTGCCGAAACCGACTTTGTTCGAGATTTCAGTTTACGTAAACGTGTGTGTGCCATGTATTCACACATACTGTGCTTGTGTGTGGGCTCTACAATTGTTGGCCGCTTGAATTGGTTTTTCGTTTTGATTTGAGGGCTGATGTGATGTAGCGACCTATTCAGGGCCGCATCAACCCTCAACCGGGCCCTGGGCAACCATCAATCTGGGGCCCTCCTTTAGTTTGTATTTTTCTGCCGCGTTCAGTGCGCGAGCAACCCCTAGCGGAGGAGATGTAGAATATGAATGGAACATGTACAATCTACATGTTAGATGTAAAATAGACATTGTATATGTAGATGTAGATATCAGATGTAGCAAAAAAATGTAAAATGTAAAATTTTTTTTTTTTTTTTAATTCTATAAAATCATAAGCTCAAAAATGTATATACTGACTGAGTACGGGTATAAGTAGAGTCGTGTCCGCAGAAACGACTCACACGTTCCTTCTCGTTTTTTTCTCATATTATTCATTACCCACTATTTCTTTCCTAGCATAAGTATCATTATCTTTTATTAACCGAAATATATAATAAGTAAATTAAACTAAACGTTGGTTAGTGGGACCGATGACCTCTGGGGAGCAGTCAGGTACCATCACTAAAAACCCAGCAGTCAGGAACCATCACTAAGAACCAAGAACCAGCACCCAGAACCAGGAACCAGCAGTAGGAACCAAGAACCAGTACCAAGAACCGAGAACCAGCACCAAGAACACGACAGGAACGCCATTCTGAAAAGCTGATAAATGCAGCTATAAATTAGATTTAAATACAAATATGCCCGTAAAAATAGGTGCTTACGCAGGACAATACAATGATGAGCATATGAATAGGGAATGTTATAATATAAATGAATATCGACGACTACAGCTAAGCTGCTAATTTCTCAACATTTTGCATAAACAATCATAAAGAAAAATCAAACAATAAAAGTTACTGTTGAGCTACTTAGCTTCTTCAGTAGCGTTGTTTTGCCAGATTATTTAAGAGACGACGATTGTTCAGTTAATATATTCACAGTTTATTGTACTTAAGTTAATATATATGTTTTATCCACAACTAGCGAAAGGTGTGCGGATTTGATAACGAGAGTTAACGATGGGTCGATTGAAGACGCGGGGGCCGGTTCAAGACGGTTGAAGTTGTTAGGTTTATGTAAGGTTTAATTTAGAACTCTGTGGCAGGCAGGTCACTGTGCCAGACAGCAAAACGTTTAACTACGGTGATGATCGAATCTGAAGTGTCTTCTGCTTTCTCTGACGAGCCTCCCCCACAGCGGCTGTCGAACGCCGACAGAGAGCAAAGCACCAGATAGAGCATAAGCAAAGCAAACAAAACGGTAATAAAGAGAGACGTTACATTTAAGAGATGTTACATATGGTCTCATTGCTCATTGTGCTGCCATGGGCCGGCGCTTAGCCGAACATACTCCCCCCGTTGAAGAGCCGCGGATCTTTAACGTCCTTATTTTGCAGCACTGTTGTTGTCTTCAGCACCGTCTTCAGTACCGCTACTCCGGACTTTATTTCTGACCCTATGCTGGGTCGAGCGAGGGGCCACTTCAGATGAGCTACCTGAAAATAGAGAAGCAAAAAGTGGAGCTGCCTTGAGAGACGGAGAAACCTCTCCTGCAACTATCCATCCCAGTCTGGTCTCCTGAAGACGTGGCAGTCCAGTTCCCAACTTGATATTGCCAGCGCATAGAAGCTCAAAGAACAGAGCCGCTCCAATCAGAATATCAACTGGCTGGGGCTGGTGAAACTTCTGATCCGCCAGAGGTATGTTGGAGGGCATGTTCCAGCGATTAATGTCGTGGATACCGTTGGGTTGGTTACTCGTAATGGTTGGAGCAATAAGTGCCGTAATGGTCGCGGCATAGTTGGACGCGTGTGATTCCAGTTGGATATCGACGCAGCATCCTTCGGATATGGCACATGAATCGCTTAGACCAGAAACGGAAACTTCCGACTCTTTCTTCTGTAGCTGCAACTGTTGAGCCAGACGAGAAGTGACGAAATGCACCTGCGATCCAGAATCGAGCAGGGCACGGCAAGGAATCAACATCCCGGAGCGACTCCTTACGCTGATTATGGCAGTGGGCAAAATCACAGCGTCCCGTCGATGACTCTGGGCCAAGAGCGACGTGGCTGACGATGTTACGGCATGTTCAGCGACAGAGGGTATCGCAGGAATTCGTAGAGTCGATGTTGATTTGAAGAGTTGAGGCAGAATGGCTTGAGAAATGTAGGACGAAGACTCGAAATGAAGTAGTGTGTGATGCTTAGCACCACATACTCGGCAGGATCGTAAACGACATTCACCTTGCTGATGGCCTGATCGGAGGCAGTTGGTGCATAGGGATAGCTTATTAGCTTCCTGGATCCGAAGTCGAGCAGAAAGGTTGCTGAACTGAGAACATCGATATATCGAATGGGCCTCTCCAACATGATCCGTCCGCATTGTTGAGCATGGGAGCATTGTGGGCTGCCGCTTGTTCAACTCACGCTTCATGCGAATTTCCAGCATGACCACGCATTCGTCAAACTCCTCCCTCAAGGGACTGCCAATCTCATCGAGATCAATCCTCTCCAGGGCATTATGGTGCTCGTTGAACGAAGCAACCAGATCCGCTAGCAACTTTAGTCGCACATTTAACTCCTCCTCACTGAGTTCGCCAATCCTCTCCTTGCCGACGACAGTTTCCATTCTCCGTGCTGCTCCTACCATGGATTGCACCTTGCGCTTGTTGAATGCAGCTTCCGAATCGACGAACAAAGGTGAGGGGGGCGAGATTGAAGGGGTGCTATTAGAAGCCATCGTGTATGCTCAGTAGAAAGCTGGGTTTAGAGTCACTGAGCGAGTGTAGAGGTTAACAGCCGGTGAATAACCTCGAGCAGTTTTACATGAACTGTACAATCGATCGCAGCGTTCAAAACACACGGTCTTGCAGTTTTACAGATCAGCAGCGTGAGCGAACAGTTTGAAACGCACTGCACTTGTGCATCCGACAACAACAAAAGCATGCACACTGAGAGCACGAAACCGAAACGAAACAGCAGAAAGCAAGCAGACCGCAAAGCAGATGACGCGAGAACCATTTCTGTTGCTTGTGCACATACGACAAACCGAAAAACCGTGGTTCAAAGCAAATTTATCCAACGAAAATGTTATGTTTTTTGTGATAAAATTTAACGAGTTTATGTTTCTATCACGTCGGGGTCACCAAATGTTGAGCTACTGAGCTTCTTCAGTAGCGTTGTTTTGCCAGATTATTTAAGAGACGACGATTGTTCAGTTAATATATTCACAGTTTATTGTACTTAAGTTAATATATATGCTTTATCCACAACTAGCGAAAGGTGTGCGGATTTGATAACGAGAGTTAACGATGGGTCGATTGAAGACGCGGGGGCCGGTTCAAGACTGTTGAAGTTGTTAGGTTTATGTAAGGTTTAATTTAGAACTCTGTGGCAGGCAGGTCACTGTGCCAGACAGCAAAACGTTTAACTACGGTGAATCGAATCTGAAGTGTCTTCTGCTTTCTCTGACGAGCCTCCCCCACAGCGGCTGTCGAACGCCGACAGAGAGCAAAGCACCAGATAGAGCATAAGCAAAGCAAACAAAACGGTAATAAAGAGAGATGTTACATTTAAAAGATGTTACATATGGTCTCATTGCTCATTGTGCAGCCATGGGCCGGCGCTTAGCCGAACAGTTACCTTGTTTAATGTCAAAAACCGATTGGCTCACCATCGCCCGTAAAAAGTAGCTCACGATTTGCCGAACTACTATTTTTACAAAATGGGCGCAAATAACTACGCAATGCTAATTGCATGAAAAATTTCCATTTTTTTATACCCGTACTCAAAAAAGAGTTAAGGGGTAAATTAGATTTGTGGTAAAAGTGGATGTGTGTAACGCAGAGAAGGAAACGTTTCCGACCCCATAAAGTATATATATTCTTGATCAGCATCAATAGCCGAGTCGATATAGCCATGTCTGTCTGTCCGTCTATCTGTCTGTACGTCCAAAG